CACCTTTCTAGAAGGAAGTATTGCAGATACCTCCCTTTGAAAATTGCTTCTTATAAAGAAGCCTAGTTTTGCTCAATGCATTTAGGACAGTTCTGTAGATGGCAGGCTGATAAATAACATCATTCTCTTTAATTTGTTCATAAAAAAGCTCCTTACCATTTGAGATTCTAGATTTTTTGTGTGGTTTTGCATCTATAATCCTCTCTCCCCATATAAGACATATGTGATTTATAGAAACTTGAGAATAAATCATCACTTATCCATAGCCTTATCGTCTTGGAAACAATGAGGTTATCATGAACTGTGGACTCATTAAGATTGGAACTAGTAAGAGAAAGGGACCAGTATAAGAAAGTAAATAAAAATGATAGGAACTAAGCTGTATTTTTTTGTACACTTTATAATGAAAAACTAAAACTAAATACTGTCAGTGGGTCTAGGTGGAGTAGGATACATTCACACTGTAGACAGTGATAAGACAGTTTAGGAGAATGATGTACACTGTTAAGACATACTGTTGAGAGGGGAAAAAGGTAAGCTATGAAATGTGTCCTGTATGATCCTCTGTGTAGATATTAAAAAGAAAGCAAGCCCTACCTTCTGATCTGACAGATGTATGTTAGTTAATCCACAGATGAAGGTCTAGAAGGAATAAAATTGTCAATATTATTTCTGAGAATAAAGTAGGATTGCTGGGGCTTCGGGCCACGGAGGCGTCTGTGTTTTTAGAATTTTACAGAAACACAATCATGGTTTCCTTTGGGAATTATAAAATCCAAAATTATTGGAGGGGAAAAGATGTGTGACAAAGACATTGGTGCAGAGGTGGGATTTGATGTCAGGAGAAGGAGGATGAGAGGAGTAGGGGTAGGGAGTTCTGGCAATTAACACAGTAAGCTATATACTGTGGTACTGTGGTATTTTGTGAATGGTGGTTTGAGGCTTTTATAATGTTTTCAGGATGCTTTTATAGGTATGTTATATACGTTTACATATACGTTACATATGGTTCTGTGCAAATTATATAAAATATATCTGAAGACAATATCTAATATATACAAATAAATACATAGAGTATTCCTTTTAACAATGTGAAGGTTAAGGTGCCATCAAAAATCATATAACTTCTGAGTTCCCTAAAACTTATCACTACTAATAGCCTACTATTAACCGCACGCCTTACTGATGACATAACAGATGACTAAATCACATTTTGTGTGCTGCACATATTATATACCGTACTCTTACATTAAAATGAGCTAGAGAAGAATGTTATTAGGAAAATCGTAAGGATGAGAAGGTATATTATATATTTAATATATTCATTAAGTGGAAGTATATTATAATAAAGGTCTTCATCATCCTCTTCATGGCTGTGGAAGAATGATGGGGGCTGGTCTCGCAGTCTCGGGGTGTGAGGAAATCTGCATATAAGTCGATCCGTTCAGTCTGAACCCGTGTTATGCAGGTTGTGTAAGGGTCAGCTCTGTGTGTGTGTATCTGCTACATCTTCATCTTCATGACTCTAAAAGTTATGACCTGGCGTAGGGACCCCAAATTAAGAACACTCAAGAACTTTTAAGAGCAATTTTCTTATCTTTCTTCTTCTGCCCTCTTTGAACTTAGATCTTGTCAGGACTGGGTGAGATATTCCATACCGTTAGAAAACGTGGATTCACTTTTATGCCTGTGTGAATAATCCTACCCCAGTAATAGAACACAGAGTGTTTTTCTCTAGCTCTTGACTTTGCACTTTGTTGAATTTGCTTATAGTCTGTAGACATCTCTTGGGCCCCCATATGTGACTCTAGGTTTGGAGCATGTGGTGTTTTTCTAGAGAACAGATTAAGGCGCTGCTGTCATGGAGCTTACAGTCAGGTGGGGTGGGGGTGGGGGAAAAATGACATTAAGTAGATTAAAAAATATCCGGAAGTGAGCACTACTGTGGTTAAAATTAACCAGAGTGACGTGCTGGGGGGTGACAGGGAACTACC